CGCGCGATCCCAAGATCGTTGCGTGAATGTGAGTGTGCATGTGTGTGTGTGTGTGTGTGTGTGTCTGTGTGTGTGTCTGTGTGTGTGTCTGTGTGTGTGTGTGTGTGTGTGTGTGTGTGTGTGTCTGTGCACATAATGGGTGGCGGGGAGGTGGGGCGACTCCTCCTCCACCACCAATCAATCAATCAATCAATCAATCAATCAAACCCCTTTTTTTTTTTTTTTTTTTTTTTTTACATCTGCATTTTTTCAAAACACGTCATACTTCTGCAAAAAACATAAATTCATTTCTCAAAAAATACAGGTAAACTCACGGACCATATATCTCATGATAAAAAATGACCAAAAAAAAATCCTGATTTTCTTAATATATATTTTTTTAATTTTCTTTAAATCCAATTTCGTTTTTGATTTTTGTAAAATCCTAAACATAGTCGGATTCAAAAACAAAAACTCTGGAGTTGTAGGCCTTAAAATTCCCTGCAACCCCATATTTTTTTTATTTGTTTTTTACCTATGATTTAATTCAGGAAAATTCGTGTAAAATCGGGTCCGCGGTGCGGACCAGGTAGGCCGCGGATGCGGACCCATTTGGGTCCGCGATCCGAGCTCGACCCCGCGGACGCGTCCGCAGGTGTTTCGTTGAGAGAGAGAGGAGAGGGTTGCGCGAATTTATAGCGCGGGAGGCAGCGGGTTGTCAGCGCGAGGTGTGGGCAGCGCAGGTTGTAGATGAGCAGGATAGGAGGGAGGTGGGGAGTTCGAGGGTTCGACCCGCGGGATGGCATGGTTCTACGTGATTGGGGTGTCCGTTCGAGTGGTGCGCGTTTTCCCGCTCTCCACATTAATCCGAGCATCCCAACTACGCGGCCAATCACTTCGCGGAGTAAGGATCGAGCTGGGTGGAGGGGAAGACGAAGAGTCCTGCATGGGGAAAGCGCGCGCAGCAAGAAGGGAAGATGGCGCGGGGATGCAAAACAGGAGACAGGGGTGCGAGACGCGCGAAGAAGTCTGAGCTTAGGCGCGTGCGCAAAAATTCAAAAAAAAAGTTCCAACCGAAACCGCTTCTTGCTTTTCATACCGCGGCCGCTATTCGCCCACACGAGAATTACTAACCAAACAAAATGAAAAAGCCATTTTAAAAAGAAAACAAAAGGAAAAAGAAAGAAAAAACCCTTTCTGTCTGTGTCCGTACTTCGGGGCTTCCGCGGGATTTTTCCTCAGGGATACGGCAAGCCGCGCGGTACGGATCTGAGCTTATCACATCTGTGATACGCAGGGGGTTCCGAAAAATTAGCAGTCTCCCGAGTCCCGACTGCTGATGTCATCATACCTTGGATGATCGGGCGGCCTTTTCATCGCCAGCTGGCTCGATCATCTTCCTAATCTATGTGCATGCATGCTGCATCCTCCATCGCCTCCTCCCATAGTATACATCCGATCGGGCGGCCCCTTCATCGTCAGCTGGCCCGATCGGTAAGTAGTTCTCAAAAAAAAAATTATTATTATTATTATTATTATTATTATTATTATTATTATTTTAACACAGCGCGTCTCGACGCGCGAACTTTGGAGATAGGAGAAGAAGACGATAAAGAGAAGGAGAAGGAGAGAACAGGGGAGAGATAGACGGGGGTGATTTGAGGAAGTGATCTATGTCGGGATTGAGAGGGGGCGGAATAGGCGGAAGAAAAGCGGCCATTGCCGCGGGAGTCGTCGGCGCATCTTCCTCATGGAAGTGGTGCTGCACGAACGAGGGATAGAGGAAAGCCCCCGGCACATGAGACAAGACACGTGGGTGGCGCCAGATCCGCCACCGCTCGCACCACTCGCTTGCGCACCGATCGGGGCCCTGGACCCRTCATCACCACATGAGTCTCGGTGTAAGGCCGCCGCTCCCGCTTCTGCGCCGCGAAGACAAGGAAGTGGTACATCGCATTGGGACGCTGCCCGGTCYCGTAGATGAGYGTCCCAGGCAATCGCGYCGCAATACACCCTTGAAAAGGGGGTGTCAGATATGGCTCCCATGMCGGATCAGGGCGMGGCGCCCCCGCGATGRCCTCGAGCCTGAYGGTGGCGGGCTCCACCATGAAGTCCACCTCTGTCGGATGGACCGTCCRGCTCGGAGGAACTACTAATGTCAATGAYCKGGGCACCCCGSGGTGGCTGGCGGGAACGGAGAGGTCCCGCGAGGACGGGGGSTCTGGATATGSGATCCGGAAATCCCATTCGGCTTCCTCCTCCGGCTGCTGCTGATGATGATGGACCGACTCCATCAAGATTGAGATCGGGCACACGCGGAAAGGGCGGCGATGACACGAAAGTCTCCTTAACGAGCGTGGCCGCACTCCCAGGCACGGGGTCAGGATTCCGCGTACGCGSGGGCTGAATCACCTCCTCGCCGCCGCCGATCCTGCTGCCTTGCGCTCCTAGCGATAGGTGGCATCTCTTCCTCTTCGGCGTCTTCTTCGGGGCCTTCACTGGCGTCGGTCGAGGATATGACGAGGGAGGCCGCAACAGCTTTTCCTCCTGGAAGTCCTCCAACCTCTCCGCGCGCTGCGCAATGTAATTCGGGATGACGACCGCGTTGTACGTTCTCCGTGGGGCCGTCGCCGTCCGCAATCGTGGTTGGATCTCCTCCTCCTCGCTCGCGATCACTCGCGCAATGGAGAGGAGCTCAAGTTGGGTGCCACTTGGAGCGCGCAGAACTCAATGAATACTCGAGTCGTCTCCCGGCCAGGCAACTGCGTCACATCCACGTACACCCCGGCATACGTCAGCCGATCGCAAAGCAACGAGTACGCCGCCAAATCAGCAACCCCGGGCGCTGGCACGTTCACATGCTGAATGTCGTACCGCAACTGCCTTTCCTCATTGAACCGATGCCACAACAAGCGATCTGCAAGCGGCGTCTAGAAATGCTTGAGGGGCTCATGCTCCGGCTGGCGATGGTTCATCCTTCTCCCTAAACTCTTAGCACCAGTGGACGAGGCAGATCGGGAAGAGGAGGAGAATGAAGAAGGAGAGGGTGATCTCGCAGGAGCGGGGGTCCGTAGGGGACCTAACGATGGCTGGAAGGGCTGGAGCGCGGCAGCGTGCCGTGTCAGCGGTCAGGCCTGGGAGTTGTGACGGGGAATCAGCTTCAGGGAGTACTGTCCCTGTGCGCCAACTTCCGTGACCTCGTAAATGCCTGTGTAGCGCGGGTGGATCTTGGAGGCTGTCTCTTATACACATCTAGATGTGTATAAGAGAACTGTCCCTGTGCGCCAACTTCCGTGACCTCGTAAATGCCTGTGTAGCGCGGGTGGATCTTGGAGGAGCGCGCAGATTTCCGTACCTGYACCAAGTCCCCAACTTTATAGCGGGGCAGTGGTYCCGCCGACGCGTGTCGATTCTCGTAGTCACGGATCTGCCGTTGATGTGTCCGATCTACGGCCTACTGTCGACGGCGAGTTAACGGGGGATAGGCCCTAGCCATTAAGTCCATGTAGTGGCGGGCCTTATCTCGGTTCTGGGCCCGTGTTGCTCTAACTTCCGTTCCTACTAAGGGGGACAATTGCACCCGAGGGACACCATTGGTTCTCAGTTGAAAGGGGGACACCCCAGTACTACCATGTGGGGTAGCCCGATAAACGGCCAAGATGTGGTCGACAATGACCGGCCAGGGTCGGGTGTCTCCCGCAGTGATATTCCGTCTAAGGGCGGTCTTAATCAGTCGGTTGGCATTCTCTACCAGGATATTGGCCTGAGGCCAATGCCCCGGCGAGTAGATAATCTTAACGTCCGCCCTGACTAGATGACGTTCTACTTCGCCTTGAAATTCCGACCCATTGCCCATGTGTACCTCTTCTACGTCTAGATGCATGCACAAAAATCGATTTACGTACTAGGCTACTTCCTGCGAATTCTGGCTGGTCATTGGGTACGCCTAGATTCATTTCGAAAAATGATCGACGGCCACTAAAAGAACATTGAGCTCTCCCTGATCGATGGGACCTCTCGGAACGTTGATATTCGTCGTGTCGATGCTAACCCTCTGAAAGGGGCGCTCTACACAAGTGGGCATCATCGTCCGAGGCATCTGTACCGGCGCCTTGTCCGCCGCGGAGGCCGGACAATTCTGAACGGTCTATTTCACATCTTCCCGGATTCCCAACCAGTACCATCTGTTCTTTTCGATGGCTTTTTCCGTGTACTTGATCGCGAAATGGACCGCATCCTCTTCATGAGCGGCTCGTGTCCAATCGAACCTTGCGAAAGGGTGCGGAACCAACTAGCTAGACCCTCCGTCGTCATCGACTTTTCGTTTTTGTAACGTCTGTCCCTGCCAACGATAATCCTGCGCCCGCTCCGTGACTCTCCGCCACTCGGCTTTGGTAAGTTCTGACAGGGAGTCGCCTGACAACCTCCGTAGCAACAGAAGGTCCGTCCAGACTTCTGCCTGGCGGACACTTGGCGCAAATCCGTCGGTCGTTCGTGCATTCAGATACCGTTTCTCGGTAGGGACTTGGTCCGTTCTACAGTTGGGACAAACCCACGTCTTTTCACTTCGGTACCTAACGCATTGTCCGTGGGACTTAACCGCTTAACACCGACTACACTGCACCCACAAAAGAAAATTGGGCCCTCCCGGATGTGACCCTTCTTGGTCCAGCACCATAGGCAAGGTACAGAAAAAACAGCGACTTAGATGTGTTTTAGGAGACGAGTAACAACTAGACGAGAGGGCGAGGGAGTTGGATGAGGGCAAAGAGATAGCGTCTGCCATCTCCAACGAAACCTCCATTCCGGACTGAAGCGTCGTTCTTGTGCAGCACGTGTAGCTCCCAGTAGTGCGGTTTCGTCTCCGCAACTTCTGGCCTCCACGGCATGAGTCGCTCGTTGGCGGGACACTTGTTGGGCGGCAGGAGGCGCGTCAATCCATCGGCATGACCATGCTGCCGCGTGGCACGGTGGCGGATGTCGAAGTCATAGTCTTGCAGACGCACCGCCCACCTGCCCAGCGTCCCCGTGTAGTCCATGTTCTTGCGTAGGGACAGAAACGGCTGATGATCCGTTGTGAGGAAACCCGGGGAGGGGCGCCTACCGTTCGCCGAAGCCAAGGGCAACGGCGTCTGTCACCCGCCGCGCCCGCTTCCGAGGTCCTCAGGGACCAGCAGGGTGATGGGCGTTTCTGCAAGTCAATCACGCTTCCTTTTGAAGTCTGTTCTAAGACACCATTCCCCGTGTCCCGAGAGGAAGAGAAGGGAATTAGGATTCAACCGGATATTTGTTGTTTCCTAGATTTGGGATCAGTTTGGCCAGGCTCGGAACAACAAACTAATCAATAGCTCTTTTCCAATAATTACTCGAGAGTGGCTTGAGAGCCTGACCACAAGCTCGGAACAGCAAACCAATCAATAGGCTCTTTTTTCCAATAATTACTCGAGAGAAGCTTGAGAGTCTGGCCACAGGCTTGGAACAGAGAGCCAATCAATAGGCTCTTTTGAGTCTTTTCCAGTAATTACTCGAGAGTGGCTCGAGAGCCTGGCCACAGGGTTGGAACAGCAAACCAATCAATACGCTCTTTTTCCAATAATTACTCGAGAGTGGCTCGTGAGCCTGGCCACAGGCTCGGAACAACAAACCAATCAATAGGCTCTTTTTTCCAATAATTACTCGAGAGAAGCTTGAGAGTCTGGCCACAGGCTTGGAATAGAGAGTCAATCAATAGGCTCTTTTGAGTCTTTTCCAATAATTACTCGAGAGTGGCTCGAGAGCCTAGCCACACGGTCGGAACAGCAAACCAATCAATAGGCTCTTTTTCCAATAATTACTCGAGAGTGGATCGTGAGCCTGGCCACAGGCTCAGAACAACAAACCAATCAATAGGCTTTTTTTTCCAATAATTACTCGAGAGAAGCTTGTGAGCCTGGCCACAGGCTCGGAACAGCAAACCAATCAATAAACTNGAGAGGGTCGAGAGTCTGGCCACAGGCTCGGAACAGCAAACCAATCAATAACTCTTTTCCAATAATTACTCGAAAGAGGCTTGTGAGCCTGGTCACAGGCTCGGAACAGCAAACCAATCAATAAACT